AACACAGCCAAAAAATCCTCATGGTTCATAGATAATGGATGTACGAGTCATATGTCACACAATGAGCTCTTGTTTCACACACTTGACAAGTCATTCAAAGCTAAAGTTAGGATGGGAAATGGTTGATGCACATGGAAAGGGTTCAGTTTCCTTTCAGACTACACAAGGTACAAAGTTTATACATGATGTGTTGTATGTTCCTTCTTTAGCATGTAACTTGTTAAGTGTGGCTCAAATGATGTCTAAAGGCTATTCCTTATTTTTTAAGGACAAACATTGTTTGATTTTTTACTCCGAAGATAGTTTGATTGTTAAAGTAAGAATGGTGGATAAAACTTTTCCTTTAGATGGGAGGTTTGATAGTGTAAATTTTGCATGTAAGGATGAGTCATGGTTGTGGCACAAAAGATATGGTCATTTTAACTATGCTACTTTAAAGTCTATGTATGAAAAGGGCTTGACTAAGGATTTACCTGAGATTTCACTGTCTAAAGAAGTTTGTGAGTCATGTCAGATGGGTAAGGTACACAGGAAATCATTTCCTAAATGTGCTACCTGGAGGGCAACTGAAAAACTTGAACTAGTTCACACTGATGTGTGTGGACCTATGCATGCATCATCTTTTAGACACAATAAATATTTTGTGCTCTTTATTGATGACTTAACTAGGATGACTTGGGTGTATTTTCTGCGTAACAAGTCTAAAGTATTTTCAGTTTTCAAGAAATTTAGAGCTTTTGCGGAAAGACAAAGTGGTTGTAAGCTAAAGGCTTTGAGGTCGGACAATGGTGGCAAATACACTTCAAATGAGTTCAATATGTATTGTGAAGATATGGGGATTTATCACAAGTTGACAATAAGTTATTCGCCCGAACAAAATGGAGTCTCGGAGAGGAAGAACAGAACAGTAGTTGAAATGGCAAGATGTTTGTTGTTGGAAAAGAAACTGCCACAAAGTTTTTGGGCAGAAGCTATCCATACTTCAGTGTATTTGTTAAATAGGCTGCCAACAAAAGTTGTGGATGAAAAGACTCCTATTGAGGCATGGAGTGGAATACAACCATCTGCCAAGCATCTAAAAGTTTTTGGTTCGATATGTTATTCTCATATTCCTTCTGTCAGAAGAAACAAACTTGAACCAAAAGGTGAATTGGGGATCTTTATTGGTTATTCATCACAAGCCAAGGGTTATAGAGTTTTCAACTTGCAAACAAAATGTATTTCAATTCGAAGAGATGTAGTCGTGGATGAGCATGCTTATTGGAATTGGGAGAAGGATCAAATTGAGAAAGATAATGCAGTTTTTCAGAACTTGAGTCCGCTGCCTGAAATCAATTCATTTGGGTCTGAAACTCTAGAAGAAGACGAAGAATCAGATGGGGAATCCTCACTTGATTCGCTAATTTTGAAGACAAGGTCTCTTTCCGAGATATATGAAAGATGTAATGTTGCAATCTCGGAACCAAATAGCTATCAAGAAGCATCAAGGCATGAAGTTTGGATTGAAGCCATGAATGAGGAGATTGGTATGATAGAAAATAATGATACTTGGAAGTTGATTGATAAACCCAAAAACATAAATGTGATTGGGGTGAAGTGGGTTTATAGAACCAAACTTAATCCAGATAGCTCAGTTTATAAATACAAAGCAAGGCTTGTTGTGAAAGGTTATGCGCAAGTTGCAGGTCTGGATTATGGGGACACGTTTGCACCAGTTGCACGATATGATACAATAAGGCTGCTATTTGCTTTGGCAGCTCAATCAAATTGGAAGTTGTATCATTTGGACGTGAAATCTGCATTCTTAAATGGACTGTTGCAGGATGAGATATATGTTGATCAACCAGAAGGCTTACAAGTTGCAGGAATGAAGGATAAAGTCTACCGACTTCATAAGGCATTGTATGGATTAAAGCAGGCTCCTTGAGCATGGTACAGTAAAATTGATGATCATCTCAATCATTGTGGCTTCAAGAGAAGTGAAAATGAAGCCACTTTATATGTAAAGAAGGCAAAAGGAGGAGATGTGTTTGTGGTGTCACTTTATGTAGATGATCTTCTAGTAACAAGAAGCAATAAAGCAATGGTGAATCAGTTCATGCAAGAAATGGAGACCAAGTTTGAAATGTCAGATTTGGGTAAAATGAGTTACTTTCTGGGAATGGAGATTCATCAAGTTACTGCTGGAATCTTTATTTCTCAGAGAAAATATGCATGGGATATTCTTAAAAGGTTCAAGATGGAGAGGTGCAAGTTTGTACCGACTTCACTGGTTCACAATGAAAAGGTTTTGAAGTTTCAAGGAGGTGACAGGGCTGATCCAACAATTTATAGAAGTCTGATTGGTAGTTTGCTGTATTTGACAGCAACAAGACCCGATCTCATGTTCACGGCAAGTATACTGTCGAGGTTTATGCAAGCTCCAAGTCAAGTTCATCTTGGTGTTGCTAAACGAACGTTGAGATATATCAAAGGAACTGTTGATTATGGTATTTGGTTTAAAAGGGAAGAGCAAGGGCAACTGATGGGTTATTCAGATAGTGATTGGGCAGGAAGCGTTGATGATATGAAAAGCACTTCTGGATATGCTTTTACACTTGGTTCAGGTAGCTCAATCTTCTGCAGAAGCAGAATACATCGCCGCTGCTGGTGCAACTAATCAAGCTTTATGGTTAAGAAAGATTCTACGTGATCTGGAGCAAAATGACATTGAAGCTACTGTCATTAAGGTTGACAACAAGTCAGCAATATCTATGGCAAAAAATCCAGTGCAATATGGTCGTAGCAAGCATATAAATGTAAAGTTTCACGCTATCAGGCAAGCAGAGAAGGATGGCGAAGTTCAACTTGTTCATTGCAGCTCAGATCAGCAGATTGCAGACATCATGACCAAGGCTCTTCCTAAAGGGAAATTTGAAGTTCTAAGGGCTAAGTTGGGAGTATCCAAGAAAAATCTCAAGGAAGAGTGTTAGAAAATGAGATATTTCTAGATGTTTTTTTGTTTAATTGTTATTTTCTTAAATATTATGTTAAGTATGTAAAGGAAAGGTAGTCCTTGTTTTATGGAATATGTTTTGTAAGAAAGTCAATAGTGGTTGGATATGTATGGTCCTCTACTAACTTTGGAAAAGCTTATATAAATATATGTGTGTATGCTTTTAAAAAGCTGAATAATGAATGAAAGTTTCTGCTGCTGAACCTTATTTTTTTCTCTAAAAGTTTCAAATCCTTACACTAATCAAATGGGATTACCTCTGTTTGCAAAGACAAAGTATGTCATTATTTACTCTCAAATTAAAGTTCGTCATAATAAAATAAATATACACTTAAATTTGACCACACAAGTAAACACTCCAACTTTGAATAATGCACATTTAGATATCTCAAGTTATCTTCATTGTGTCAGTTGAACACTTTAACTCACAAATGATCATTTAAACACCTTCAAATTTTATGTGTCACGTCAGCATCGAATGTTCATTCGATAAAGCCAGAATGAGTTGAAGCGTTAAGTGACCAATTGAAACTAATTTTAAAAGATGGAATAATGGAGCACAAGTAAATGTGAACCGATGAGCACTTGGAATAGATAAAGTGGGCTGTAAATTTGGAACGTGAAGAACAATAAAAGGTGACCCAACCTTAACATCCTGCAAGTAGATAGAAATTGATAGCAATTCCTTCTTCTGGCAATCAAAACAAAAATCCTAACATTATTTGAGGTCAAACAGAATTTGCAAATGAGATAAGGAGCGACATTAGCTTAGGTGTTTAAACGTATTGAAGAAATTAAGAAATTCTAGCTGCCTAAGTTTTGTAGTAAGAGTCAGTGGCGGATCTAGGATTTAAAGGTTGTGGGTGCTCACTTCCTTTAACATAAACCTGTTAGCAATCACATAGTGTAAACGTATACTAACTCAAACTCTTTAATAAAAAAAAGTAAACGTATATTAACTCAAACTCTTTAATAAAAAAATAAAACAACGATTAATATTATCATCATCAAAAACAACCTCTAGTTATAAGTTACAATGACCTACTAGTTATATTATCATTACAAAAAGAGACTTCTAGTCTTAAAGTCATAATTGTGCTCGACGACTTTTCATATGTTGAAAACGATAAATAATAGCATCATTGCTTACATTTGCGAATATCTTACGCTCTACATAGCAAACTAAACAACCATTCAAAAATTCATCACCAATACTATTACGAAGTTCATTTTTAATGTACTTCATGGATGAGAAAGCTCGTTCCACAGAAGCAGTAGCAACGGGAAGAATGAGAGTCAACTTGATAAGCAAATAAACAAGTGGCCAAATTTGATGCAGATTTGACTTGACCAATACTTTAGCAAGATTACTAATTCTCTTCAAGTTGAAGAACCTCTTGTCAGAACCACGAGCATAAACTATAAAGCTATCAAGCTAAAAACTGAGATCCTGAAGCTTGTTGTTGTCAAACTCATTCATATAATATTCAGCCAACCTCATTATCTTGCCCTTATTAAAACTACCAAATGAATTAACTGGATTCAAACTAGCCATACCGAGAAGTAAGTTAGTACTCACATAATCAAAACGATTATTAAGCTCTTGAAGATGCAAATCAATAAGAACATAAAATATTTCAACACACAAATGATGAGAATATGTAACATCAAGAGCTTTACGCTTTGACTTCCCAGGAAAATAGCTAGCATCCATCTCCGGAATGACTATATCATGTTTATCACAAAAAGAAGAGACATCATCCATTAATGATTTGAATTCATTATCCCTCATATTTTGTAATCTTTGCTTTGTAAGAGCAAAAAATCTCATAGCATTGAAAATATCTTGATCCATCCTTTGTAATGAGGAGCTCAATTCATTTTTCATCATAAGAACTTTCCACATCAAGTGCAGCATAAAGGAAAAATCAAATTTCTTAATCGTATCCACAAGAGCTTTAACAAGAAGTCTATCAGTATAGTTTGGACACTCGCATCCAGTAAATTAAAACACATGAATAACTGATGGAAATAGAACAATAAGATTATCTAATGTTCTATAATGAGAACCCCAACGAGTATCACCTAGCTGTTGAAGCCCACGTTCTTGATTTAATCCTTGCCCAGTATGCACTTCCCCTGATATGAGTAAATCCTCTAACTGTTCAGCTTGGTGTTTCCGAAGTAAATCCTTGCGCTTAAAAGATGCTCCAGCAATATTTAACATATTAGTAACTAAGCAAAAAAAGTCATCTACATTTGAATCCTTCTTTGCAAGAGACACTAATGTTAACTGCAATTGGTGGGCAAAAACAACGAATGCAATATGCTGATGGAGTCTCATTCAAAATCAAAGTTTTAAGACCATTTAGATGTCCTTGCATATTGATAGCTCCATCATAACCTTGCCCACGTATTTGGGATGGACTTAATGAGTGATCTGAAAGAAAAGAGTAGATTGCTTCCTTTAATGAACAAGCAGATGTATCACTAACATGAATAATACCAACAAATCGTTCTATCACTTCTCCTTCTTTGTTAACATATCTCAAAATAAGTGTCATTTGCTCCTTGTATGATACATCCTTTGATTCATAGACTAGTATCCCAAAATAATCCTCATCTAAATCTTCAAGAATAGATTTGATTGTTTCCTTAGCACAAGAATCAACAATATCCTTTTGAATACTTGGAGAACATATCATTTCATTTTTTGGAGCTTTTTCTAAAATAATGCTTCCAGCATCTTTATAATATCTCCATACCATTGCAAAAGTTCAAGAAAAATACCTCTATTTGAAGAAGATCGACTCTCATCATGTCCATGGAATGATAATCCTAATTTCAAGAGAAATCTTGTCACATCAACTGAAGCACTCAAGCGACGTCGAGACTCACTTTTTTCTTTCTTGGACTTTTTGTCAAAGGAAGTGCGTATTGACTGTGATTGATTCATCAAATCAAGCATCTTGTTGAAACACTTGTTGTGGATGCTATTTATATCTCTTACGTGAGCTCTAAATCTTTCAATAGCTTTGTTCCAAGCTCTAAAGCCGGTCTTTGTGAAAGCAACATCAACCACATCTCCACGACTTTCACATTCATTTTTAAACAAGTAGCAACACAAACAAAATGCAACATCTTTTGTTATGCTATACTCCAACATCTTCCGATTATTAAACCAATCAGGAAAAAACTGCCGCATTTCCTTCCCAAACTTAGTTTTAGGAAATTTATGATCCTTTGGTTGGCAAGACTTTTTAAGAATATAATATCTCCTAATATCATCACGTATATTAGGATTATATTCTGCAATGGGCTTTCTAATTCTCGGATCAACTTCAAGAGATTCTAAATCAACATCTGAAATAAATGTTTTCCTTTGAGTTTTCGGAGCTATGGTTGAAGCGGTAGATGGATGAGTAGAGCTAGAACTTGGATGCCCAATTTTCGATCTTGTGACATACTTATCCATCTCAATTTACAAAGATAAATTCCTGCAAAAAAAACAATTTTATCATAAAATTAATTCACATAATTCAATTAATTTTTATTGAAATCTATAACTTTCTATCAACAACCCAAACAACAATTAATATATCTATTTGATCTTTCAACACCACAAGCAATAATTAGCAATATATGAGTCAATGAGCACAAAATTTTCAATTGCACAATTTGTATACATCCTAAAATTTAATTTTTGAATCAACTAAGTTGGTAAGAAAAAAAATTATTTCAAAAGTATTCAAAAAATATATTTTTAATCACAAAACACTAAATATGTGAGACTCTAAAGTCTAAACCTATTTAGCAAGTAACAAAAAAAGTATGTGGAATCTATTTTAAGAATTAAGACTTAAGAGTGCTAGCCATAAGCAATGAAAATCTCAAAACCTAATTCCCCAAACCCTTTTTTTTTCATTATCTAACTTTAATCAAACATCAAATCTTATTACCTTGCTTTTGTATTTTGATTTTGAAAAGAAAAAAGCTTGAAGTTTGTTGTTGGGCTGGCTGCTTTCTCTTTGAAACAAGAAGAAGAAGAATGATTTCATCAAATTCGTCCTTTTGTTAAAAGAAAAAATCCCATAAAAGTGGGCGGTGAAAAAGGTTTTAAAGCATAGGAAAAGTTAAAAATAAAAAAGAAAGAAAAAGTTAGTCACCCTAAACTAATTAAGAATAGGAAAAGTCAAAATAGGTACAAAATTCGGAGTAAAATAAGCCCTTAATTAAAAAAAGGAAATAAAAAAAGGGTGCAAAATTCACTGAAAAAAGTAAAAAAAAAAGAAAAGAATGGGGCTGATGGGATTCGAACCCTCGCCCGCATGCTTCGCGCGCCTTATATTTCAATTGTTAACCAGCACACCCACGACTACTTTTGTTCTGTGGGTGCTTATTTATATTTAATAACATCTTTATCATATTTGCTATATATATATCCAATTTTTTTCTGGAGTCAATCGACGCTCGAGCACCTGAAACTGACTACGTGGATCCGCCCCTGGTAAGAGTTACCCGACACCTCCAGTAAAATAGTTGATGTCGTTTAAGTTGACGGAACATTATCATTATCAAGCAAAATCAGCAAGTTTTAAGCTATTTTGATCATGAAACATCATAAGGCACCATTTTAAAGTATATTTGCAAATTATCTCATGATTATACTTTCAAACTGAAAAATGAATATAAAGTTTTCTATAATTATAACCAACTATAGACCTATTAGTCGTTAGCGAACTCCAACGTTCTTTACGTATGATAAATAATGAAATAGTCATCTTATATGTCAAAATTGAAACATCAGTTATATTTTTTGTGTGTGTATAACATTAGTTAGTACTTGCAGATCGTTCAAGTAGACACCATACTGACGTATGTTATACATATTCTGGATATTTCTAATAGTATATGATATTAACCATCCTTTGCAGAAGTCATGACCCTTGCGTCATTAATGTTAATATTTTCAGAAACATAATAAGTGCATAGCTGCTTCACTGAACAAATTCCGATAATATTAATTTGACTATTAGGCCCGTGCTTGCCACGGGCCTTTTCCATCTAGTCATACTTAGAAGAATAAGATTCAATGAAACTATTATAGATACGATCTGGAGAATCATATCTAAAATAATACTCTAATTGCTATACTATTATAATAAATGGAACTAGATATGGCTTTTTTCAATATTTAATATATATTAGTTCCATTTATTTTATATAATACACTTCTAATATATACACAATATACTATCGTAATTTTATTCTTTTATACCGTAATTTTCTTGTTACTATAATTCATTCATATGGTATGCACCTATACCTATTTCTCCAATTTCACTAGGTGATGCGTTAGGTATACAAGAATAAACATTACTTGTACTACTTCTATCAGAAACATTTTTTTTCTTACTACCACTACTACCTCCGGGACATAAATTTTTAACATTTCTATCGATTTTTTTTATCGTTTCCATTACGCAAATTAAAATGATAAAATTATAAACACAAAAATAATATGATTAAATATTCTAGAATTAATACACTAAATTAAAGCAAGAGAAGGAACGAATATCCCAAATTGTCAGAGTCCGAAAATAAAGAAAGAACCGTATTATTGATAAAATTTTGAACACTTGAAAATTGAAAACTTCCACTTGATATTGTTAATTGAAAAATATAATATAAAATTGCTATTACAAGAGAGAATTGAGAAATTGAGAGAGAATTAGAAGATTAATTTGATGTAGCAAAAATAAAGAAATGTGTAGCTAAAAAAAAATTGTGTATTAATTTTTGTTTTTTTTTTAAAAAAAAATGTCATTTTGGCACTTTTTCAGAAAGTGACCAAAAGGATATCACCCACATTTTTTTTAATTATCGGGCTGGCTCAGGCCGATGCATCGATGGACCGCGTACCGGCCTCTACCGAGCCGGCCTTATCAGCTTGTGGGAGAAAATAATCTTGACCGGCCACCCCCTAATAAAGAGGGATGGTTGTCAGGTCGGTGGGTCGACCTTAATGAGTCGAAACTAGACCGGCTGACCTAATTGACAGGTTTATGTGATTATATGAGCAACAACTATCGTTTTGTTGTATAGCCTTTACAAATGGAGAGAGTTTGTATAATCTAACTGACACAACCAGTGCTATTTCATTGAATTTTGTTCTAGGAGATTAGATTTATGTCCCTCTCCTATGTACTTTTGAGTTATTAATAAATAATACTTACATAAATTTTATAGTGTACGACCTAAATTACATCTTATCCCTACTCTTTTCTATTTTACAAAAATCCCTTAAAATATCAGCCATCCGAATACATTAATTTTGATACATTATAAAACTTACATGTTGTGCTTAATATGAAATATTAACATAAAATTAATTTTCTTTCCCATAAATCACATATATCTGATTGATATCAATCCATTCCAATTTGTAACAGCTACGAAAAATTCAAAATTCAGATTTTCATCTTCTCCATCAATTTGAAATCGTAAAAGTTCCACAAGAGGAATTCCCCTACTTTGTGTTGTTGCTCATCAACCTGTCAATGTTAGCATCAGTGGAACGATTGCTGATTTTCAATACTCTTATCTGTTACTCCTTTTTTACACATTTCTTTGCCCTTTCTTCTCTCAAGAATCCCAAAAATAATGTGCACTTTGTTCTTTTGTATTATGAAAACATGCGGGGAATCTATGATGAAAGTTGTTCTAATAGTCCAGATGACTTGAGCCATAGAGTACTAATAATAGTAGGATATAGTTCCGAAAGAAATGACTACTAATGGATAATCAAGAACTCATGTGGTACATCATGGGGAGTGGAAGAGTATGGCATGGATATATAAAAAGAAACAGTGATTTGACATATAGTGTTTGTGTCATTAATTCATTGCCTTCTTATCCGACGAAGGAATTATCTTTTGTATTATCTCCTTATCCATCTCCGGCCGTTCAACCACCTCTTCCACCATTCCATCTGCCCTCTCCACCATTGGTATATAGTTTTTTTTTTAATGTATCATTGTTTAGAGTTTTGTTTTGTCATTTTGTTGTGAATATGTAAGTCATAATACATGTGATTATAAACGACCCGCACGTATTGTAATTTTGTATCTATAGATTATGATGTGGTCATTATTTTATATCCGGATGTGATTTGTGTAAAAATGTATCATCATAATATATTGTATATGATATATGTAATAAATGGATTAACAATTGAGACAAATCAGATACGTTTTGATTATCGAGTGTGTGTATCACAAATTTGTATAATATATCAGGTTATTATTGTGTACATTGTACATATAAGTAGTGTAACAATTAAGATATGTAAATTACTTGTTTTGATCAAGACAAATGTGGATGATACATTAATATATATATATCAAACTTGAGTTTTTGTGAATGATTATATCATTGATAATTGTAATGTACCCAGTACATGTTATAATATGGTTACAAAATTGTGTTGATATGTGGTAGTTTGTTGTTAGATAAGTGTTGCTTTGAAAATTGAAAAAATGTATTTCATATAATGTATCACTGAATTTTTTTTATGTTTGCAAATTGTTCCATGTCGTCTGAGCTTTTATGTATGAAGATTATTATTGGGTAATATGTACACATACATCGTATTCTAAGTTGGATAAAGCTGAACAAACATTAATGGGTGTAGATACATAACACACAACTAATTTGTTATTGTTTATATAGCCGTTTAAATTTGAATAAGATTTGATGATACATTGAAAAACTTGATACATGCAAATGATACATTAGGTAGTGTTTATGTATCAAATACATTTATATTGAACATGATAAAACTAATCAAAGATTCAACAACATTAGGGTTATGTATCAAGACCTTAAATATGAATATTAGGGGTGTACAAAGACCGGGTTGGTTTGGGTTTTTCAATTATCAAACCAAATCATTTGTGCAAAATTTTTAAATTTATAAACCAAACCAAACTAATAAAATTTGGATTTTTTCGGGTTTTCAACCTCGGGTTGGTTCGGGTTTTTCAAATACCAAACCAAATCATTGTGTCGAATTTTTTAAATTTATAAATCAAACCAAACTAATAAACCTCGGATTTTTTTTCCAGATTTTTGGATTTTTTCGGTAAAGTTTGCATACAAACATATAATTAACTTATGCTCCAAATATTTCTTTAGTTCAACCAAAATACAATTATCTAAGGTGTTTCTTAAGAAAATATCACAAAATATAAGATGAGTACTGATGACACTAAAATATTCAATAAAAAATAATAATGAAATCATCATATAAAATAAATATTGCAAAGTCATAATGAAAATGAATCATAATTTAAAAGTACTAAATCATGCTAAAATAAGTTTAACAAATATTAGTTACATTACTGAATATTTAAGGAAAATTAAAATTAGATTATGTATTTTAATTGTCTAAACCAATGTAAAACTAAAGAACAA